AGGAAACCGCTCCCACGTCCAGATCATCAGCAAGGCGGACCATCCACCAAAGTCACCACCCAGTGAAGAAGATGCCGTCATCTGCAGCGCCGATCTACCCATATCACGGTACAAGTAGGATAACACAGCTGCTCTCCAAGCAAACCTCCCCGCTCTGTGCCAATCCTCCACCAAAAGTAGGTACTGCAGGTGGACTGAACCTCCAGACCGATCGGAGAACAAGACACCTCCCATCAGAGACAGCGCATACGCTCTTGCAAACTGCTTTGTCGTCTGGGGTGATGCAGAAAGCGGCAGCTCATCGAAAGTCTCCCTGAGCCAAGAAATCCGGATGACGCCGCCACCAAGATCAGTAGGAGCCTGTCCTAACAGTCGAAGACACATACCCGACCAGTCCTAGTCTGGTATGTCTACTACGACGGCATCACCGTCGATCGCTAATCCGGTGAGTGTCGCAACGTCCTCTAGGGTGATCGTCACCTCACCGAACGGCATGTGAAATGTCGATGTCTCGGGTCGCCAACGCTCTACGAGTGCAGTAATCAAACCCGGATCACCGGTAAGAGGGGCTAGTGGCAGAACACTAGACAGGCCGGCATCGACAAGATACGTCAGGTACAGTGGATTGTATCGAACTAAATTTCTAGTATCACGAATGTGGAATGGTCGATCACCTGCCTATAATTAATGCACAAAACTATATTAATTCAATTCCTTCAATTCACCTAATATTTATATTTATATATCTAAACTAAACTTATTCTAATATAATATACTCGTAACTTAATCTAATTATATTCCTAATTTAATTTAATTCCAATCGTAATTCTATTCTATTCTATTCTATTCTATCATATTATTCAGCTAATAAAACTATAGAAATAGTTTGAAAAAAACTTACCTCATTTGCCCAAACTGTGTCAATTCGATGGTGACCATGCCCCCAAAGAAGTTCCGGATCCATCGGAGCAGTATCGATTGTCGCAGGTGGTGGTCTCATCGAACAAGGATCGATAAGCCTGGAACTGGGAAAAAAAATATTAGAACATAAAAAAAATGTCGCCGAAAAAAAAAAGTCGCCGCCGGCAAGAATCCGGCACTCACTCCTGTAGCATTCGCTGCCGCCACGCCGCCCTCGGCCTCTTCCTCTGCCGCCGGGGGCCTGCTGCTTGTCGTCGGACATCCCGCGTCGCCGCTGTTGCTGGGGCGCCTTCGCTTTCTTCCTCGCGCCGCCGCCTTATTCTGGGCGTCGCCGCTCTGTTTTTGGCGTCGGCGCTGGTAGGGTGAAGGAGGGGTTGGGATGGAGGATGATGAAGGAGGTCGGGATGGAGGGAGGATGTAGTCTGGTCTGGTGCGAGAGGGCGAGGAAGGGAATAAAAAAACAAAGGAGCATAGCGACGGCGCCCCAGTCTCAGGCGTTGGCGCTTTTTGAAATTTCAAAATTTCAAAAAGCGCCAACGCCTGAGACTGGGGCGCCGTCGCTGGCTTTACCCTTAAAAACTGTATTTGCTGAGTCTCGGGCGCCGTCGCCAACTTCCCTCCATCAAAACACAATATTCTTGTAAATACTTTTCAAAACACTATATTCGTGGTAAATTAAAAAAAAACAATATTTAGGGAATTAACCCTCATATTTTTAACCTCTAACCATAATAAGTGGAGTAAAAATAAAAAACCATTTCAGAATCATTCAGACTCATACATAACCAGGTTTTTTTTTATTGAAAACCCAGATCTGTTAGCTATCCTAAAAATCGTATAATCTTTTTTAGTTCAAATTCCCTAATCACACTAACTGAGTTTAGGAGATCCTTACCCAAACCTGCCCAGTTCCCTCATCCTGCCGAAACAAAAAAAAGTAGAAGGTCAGTACTGACCCAAAATCTAAATAAACAGAAATAAAAAGGAAGAGCCAAATTCACCGGTTCTCTCACCTTGTTGCCGGTGGTTCTCACCGATAGCGAGTCCACCTTCCACCATCTGCGACCCCCTTTTTTTCTCCCTCGTTCGTCACCCCAATCCAAAACAAAAAAATATACATCAGAACATCAAATCAACAAAAATAAAACCCCCCAGAAATCGGGAAATGCAACTCATGAAACTCGCCTAGGGTTCACTCACCATCGCCGAGGGATCTGTCCTCCGCCACGCTTTCTTCTCGGTCATCGTCGTCTGTCGGCGGCGGTGATTCATTCCCGTTCTTTCTGTCAGTCCAGATCCAAACCCCCCACAAAAAGTACAAATCAAAAGCGATTAGAACCCTCAACTCCCCAAAATCAACAAAATAAAGCAAAAGAAAATAACATGCAAGCAAAAAATTCACCTTGATCGACATGCCTTCAGTCGATTCAGGCCGCCCTTCTCGCCCTCGTCGTTGTTGCTGTCGTAGGCGGTTTGTGATGAGATTTAGGCTTTCGTTTCCTTGAGGCAGAGGTGAGAAACAGAGAGATTGAAAGGAAAGGATGGCGGCGACATAGAAAGAGGTTAGGGTTTATGTTTTCTGGGATAGAGAAGAAGAAAGCACGACAGGTAGAAAGAGAAGAAGAGAGATCGACGGTTGAGAGGTGAGAGGAGAGCGGCGACGGCGACGAGAAACCAGAGGGATTTCTGGTTTGGCGAGAGGAAGAAGAGGAGAGAGCGGCATCTAGGGTTATGTTTGGTCTTCTCTAGAAAAGACGAGAGTGAGAGAAGAGAGAGAGGGGTGGCTCATCGGCCGCCGTTTAGGCCTTAGGTTAGACTTAGTTAGGGTTTTGGTTAGGGATTATATACCTCGAGTTTCAAAATGACCCCTTTGCCCTTAGGGTTTCCAGAAATTAACACACTCTTGCCACCGTGTTCTTGGGAAATTACGAGACTACCCTTCCCCTTTCTCTGAAATAAAATGAGAATAAAATTATTAGATTGACCGGGTTCGCGTTTCGAACCCTCATTCTCGGGAACGAGCGCCTTCATTGAACAACGACTTAACAAGTTGGGCTGATGGCCCATCATGCGGAAATGTAATCATCTCATTTAGTTTTATTTGTTTTAAAATCCTTAATACGAAATGTTGAATGCGGATTAAGTTTATCTTGTTTCTTTTCTAATATGTCAAAATACTTCCTAATAACTAAAATCCTTGCATTTATTGTCTTGACCTCATAATAACCTATGTAAATTTTATTAACAAAATCTTTAATACGAAAATTACGTTTAGTGGAACGTGGTCAAAGTTATAATTAAAATGGTCAAAATTCCTAACGAACTACGTGGACTTTGATCCCGTCTAACAAGTACGTAGGAAACCGATAAGGTTCGAGTCCAACTAACCAATTAACTTTATCTTTTAATTTTTACGTCAGTGGGCGTATAATTAAATTATAATTAATACGATTTAATTTCTTTAGTGGTCCAGTAAGGCCCTAAAAATATCTAAAATACTTAATAATGAACCAAACGTCCAATGACACATTAGTTAAGTCATAAGCAATATATTAATAATCCAGTGGGATTTTAAAATACACAATAATTACCAAAATAATACACAACACACATAAAACTTATCAACTTAAGTAGTACTGATTTAGGGCGTTGTGGGGTGTGATTTCACTTCCCCACACGTAACCGTACTCCCGAACCCGAATCTCTTAATCGCAGACCACACCTCGATTCTGACCCTAAGGTTAGAGCCGACCGATGAGTGTTCAATCCACTCCAAGTAAGATCGATGGCGAATCCCAAAAAGCGAACGCGACGACCCCGAACCCCGGAGGGACGGTTGCGACAGGAAGATTCGCCACCCTATCAGTCATATTAGGAACCTAGGTCTCCGAGGTAAATAAAGTATGGTAAAAGTCAGTATCGATAGTCGCTTTCCCACTTTCCTCAGTGACCCATTCACACTCATCATTTTGAAGCCCAGAAACAAAATTCTTTATCCGTCGAGCGCGTGTGACCGTATGGAAATAGGCAGAATTTTGATCTCTTTTTTTTAAACATCGGACCCTGGATTTTTGCTGCCAGTATATCTCCTCTGCTTCCCATTGACGGGTCATCTCCGTTTCCAAGTTCCTGATCACATCCCAGTCCACCGGATGGATCAATTTTATCCGATCAATCTCCGCCTGGAGAGTTTGGATATTCCGCCGGGAATTCGTAGTGCCCGCCCTACTCCAATCATACAGCAGATGACGAAGTTTCTTTAGGTTCTCCCAAAGTCGAAACATAGGGGTACCTTGGATGTCCTCCTGACAAACATAGTGGACCATATCCTTCACCTCTGGATTATCCGCCCAGCGGGCATCAAACCGGAACAGGGGCCGACTACTACGACTATACGGTTTATTAGTGAGGAGGAGGGCACGATGATCTGATCCCTGGTCAGTAAAACGTTTGACCAGATTCTTCGGATAAGTATCAATCCAGGACTGGAAACAGAGCGCCCTATCCAGACATTCACGAATGCACGCAGCACCCATACGCTTGTTCGTCCAAGTGAATTGATCCCCTTGGTAACCAGGGTCATGGAGACCCAAATCATGAACAAAGTCCCGGGGACTAATGGTTTGTGCAACATTCCACGCCCGACCCCCATCTTTTCACCCTCATGGAGAGTAGTGTTAAAATCATCTATGATCACATAAGGGTGATTGATATTCGCACAAACTTCTCTCAACTGATCCAATTGAGTAGCTCTTAAAGAAAAATTGCAACTAATGTAAACAAAGATCACAACATAAGAAAAATCTCCATTAATTTGACAACAAATATAGAAATTGGAATAACAAAACACCAAAATGTCAACCCCGGGGGACCAAGCCGCTACTAAACCACCCGATGCATCGACTGCATCTTCAAAGAAACAATGAGAAAGAGCAAAACCTAAACCCTGCATACGACGGGACACTACACGCCGGCTCGATCGCATTTCAGAAAAAAAACACGAGATCCGGTTTATTAGAATGAACAAGCCCTATAGAAGTTTGGAAAGTGAGGGATGACCCAATTCCTCTCACATTCCAGGCCAATAGCCTCATTTATCAGCTGAGGGCCACTCGAGGTTGGCTTCCTCCACCTTCTCCAAAACATCAGCTGATTCCACAAATTGCTTCTTCGGGGTAGGAGGGTCCCCCACATCCCCGTCCACCTCATCAAGCACTCATTTCTGATTCTCCATGATTGGGTCCACTATATTAGACCCATATTCATTCAGGTTCAAGCTCGACCCCTTGCGTGGAACACCCTCCTCCCGCGCAATGACTAGCCCAGCTTCGAACCCCTCCACCACTTGGTGAACATGCCCCTTCATGACTAGGTGAGTCTTCATGGAGGCGCCAGTTGTTGATCGTCCCTTGATTTCAAAGGAATGATGATCCTCCAGCGATTGATCTCCATCAAAGTCAGAGGCCTGCTGGTGATCCACAGGAATAGGATCATCCAGAGTAGCAACAATCTCTTTGTCCTCCAGCTCCTGCAGAGCACCAGATGGAGTAGAGCTCTTATCCTGGTTGGATATAGTCAGAGGGAAGCTAGCTCCTATTTTTCTCAGATGTGGGCGAATCCGAGGTGCCGAGACCCCTGACTGGGTCGCGATCTTGTAGGGCAACCAAGGATCCGTTAGCGGTTTATGAACATGGTCCTTTGTGGGGCCAGTAGGGGCACGTGGTTGCATGGGATGTATGGCTATCTCACCCGCAGTCTCCTCCTCCTCGAATTACTCCTGCAAAATCAGCCTACGCCTCCAGGATTGCTCGATATCCACCGCCACAGGATCCGCCACGTGCTGGCAATGCAGTCAAAATCGGGATTTTGATCGTAAAATCGTAGGATTTTAGGATTTTACTTAGGGATTCTGATCCTGATTTTACTATAAAATCGATGAATCTTAACATCGTTCAAAATCGGGATTAAAATCGTTAAAATTGTAAAATCGTACCAAAATCAGGATTTTGATCCTATGTGAACAAAATAGGGAGCTTGAGCCAATCCAGAAGAAGCAGAATTGTTTCGGTGGAAAGGGCATTGGCGGAGATCTTCTCATATATTTTTCCTATTAAAAGAACATTTGAAAAGAAGAAAAAAAAACTAATTAGGGTTCAGTTAACCCCTTTCCCTTCTCCTTGTTTAACTCATCGGTAAAATAATTATCAGAATATTGTTAGTGCGTAAGAATTAACATCATTATTAACAAATTATTTTATTAATGAATATATTTTTACCAAACCAATGACATTAATTATTTTATTGGATTTCAGTTATTCTTGGTTTTAAATCATGCTTAGTAGACGATGTCGGAATACTACTTTGAGTTAAAATACCTAGACACAACATGAAAAACAAAAGCCAAACCCCATGAGCTCTATCCCTTCCTCATAAATTATTTTGAGTTACACATTAAATAACAATAAAAATGATGATTTTGGAACATTAATCTTGAAAATTATCACTTTAAATGTTATAAGTCTTTGTGTTATTAATTATTTACCTTATTAATATTATCATATGTTAATTTTTATATGGTACGTAAAATCCTATGATTCTACGATTCGATTTTACGATTCTGATTTTACTCCAGTTTTCGATTTTAGGTAAAATCCCGATTTTAACTGCTTTGCCTGCTGGTGATGGGGAATATGCCTGACGCGTCTACTAGGTTGTTGGCGACTCTTGGTGTCTGGTCGAGGAAGAGAGGCACCCTTTCTAGGCGACGGCTCCTTCTGATGTTGCCTAACACCACCACCAATCTTAACCCGCGGCGATTTCTTGAAGACAAACCTCTGCGGGCTAGCACAATTCCCAGCCAACTTATTAGTTGGTTCTCGAAGCCTAGGTTGTGTCTTCTTTCTAGCTTGAACTTCCGGCTCAGTGGACAGAGAATGGTACAATCCTTGAGCCTATGCGCGATTAATGGGCACTGGTGATATCTCCTCCACTCGACCCCTAGCAATCTTCACATTCCCATCATTTTGCATTTGAACATTCCTGTTAACCCACACAGACTTGCTTGTATTTCGAACCTTAGGGTAATATTCTCATCCATGTATATCTTCCTTCCTAGCTTCCTCGTAGACATGTGCGGTCCGAAGCGTTCTTTACCCGGTGGGGAATCAAAAACACAGTCGCGTTTGGAGTGTCCCACACGACCACAGTGGAAGCAGATGGTCGATAAAAACTCATACTTGAGATTTACCCAGAAATTGCCAAGCTCTTCACTCAGCGCCATGAGTTGAGACCGCAAAGGTTTGGTAAAATCGATGAGAGCACGCACTTTTACAAAGAACGCTTATGTGTCCTTGGACGCAAAGACATCTACCTCCAAGACCTGGCCGATAGTCCCAACTGCCATTTTCCGACCGAACTGCTTAGTGCAGCAGTCATCTTTCACATTCCAGAGTTGAACGCGAAAGGGAGCAATGGCCAATTCATCAAAGATGAGCCTCGAAATAGATGGTGTCCAGGACCGGAGATGGAAAATCCTGTCTTAGACAATCCAGGGCGTTCTTTTCAGGATCCACACCCTTGTCTCATCAGTTGTAAGAACAACCTCAAATAGGCCAAATTTAGTGAGTGAAACCCTAAGGTTTCCTTTCACCCGCCAAGCTTCGACTAGTCCATCCCTCAACTCTGTGGTAGTGAGCCTGGCTTCCCAAAAGAGTCTTCCCAAAAGGGTCCTAGAAGTGCGAAACTTCACAGACTGGACCTCCTCAAGTGAGAACTCGACCACTTAGAACTCAGCTAGAAAGCCATCTGGCCGTGGAGCCTTATCGTTTGGCATTTGCTTGAATACCTTCCGAATTTCTTCTCTTGTTACTGGAGCCATTAGAGAGGCTGCTACTTCTGCATCAAGAGTGTGCCTCAGGAAACTTCTGTAATAAGCAACTTCCTTACCCTGCACAGCTGTATCTTTATTCCCCACCAGATGTTGATAAAACTCCACTACAATTGCCTCAGGAAACTTCTGTAATAAGCAACTTCCTTACCCTGCACAGCTGTATCTTTATTTCCTTTACTGTAGTGACCTATGTACCATCGTCTTTTAGTAGTCTCTTTATCGTTTGTCGATGGTTCCTTACTTTCACCAATCTATTAAAATACGCAGTATTGGCATCACCCTCCTGTACATATATGACTCTGGATTTCTGACGGTATAGACTCTCCTCTGCCTTCAGTAATTCACTACAGATGGCAGCTTGCTCCAATTCAAGTACAGCATTATCTGCAGTAGGATGAAGCAGAACTTCAGTTTGCCTGCGATCCAGCTCCAAATAGCTTTCTCGATTCAACTTCTTCAACTTATATTTAAGACATTTCAATTTCCTATAAAACTGTTGATATTGAGCCCCTTCAACCTCCTCATCCCATGCTTCTAATACCAGCCCCTCATACTGTGGATGCTGCATCCACATTTTGAAATACTTGAAAGGCTTTGGAAGAGATTCAATGTATGGGCAAGAATCCATCAACAATCCACAATGGTCTGATACACCAGGTAATGAAGTGTGAGCCACACTGTTTGTAAAGATATCCAACCACTCCCCACTAACTAGGAATCTGTCAAGCCTCTTAGCTATTGGGTTTGCTACCTGTTTATTCCACCAATTCAACCAAGACCCTTGTACAGCATGATCAACTAATCTCATATCAGCTATCAATTATCTAAACTCCAAACAACTTTGGGTTAGAACTGTCGTAGTGGACGCTTCTGACACTTGAGCAATTGCATTAAAATCTCCCATAAACAGTCCAGGCTTCCCATGCTGACACTTTGAAAGCATTTAAGCATACATCAGAGTCTTCTACATAGTCTTGTTTGGGGCATAAATTGCAGTCACCAACACCTCATGTACTCCCTCAACTCGAACTTGTATAAAGTGCTCACCCATTGCCACTTCTGAGACCCTCAAAGAAGGCTTCCAGAACAACCATACTCTACCCAACTTCGAATACTTGTAATTATTAATATGCCTCCAGCTACTAAACTTAAGTTGAACTAGCCAAAACTCTAGTTTCCAAAACAGCAAACAAATCTACTTTGTTTGCGTGTGGGGCCCCCCCGGGGGGGGGGGGGGGGGTGGGCTTTGGATCGTGTTTTATATTACCTGAAGAATGTTTGAGGTCAGGGCCTTCTTCTTCCTTCCACTGGTAATCTGCATCTGATAGCCCATTGTGATGCCGATGGGCGGGAAAGCAACTCACACTTCGCTCCACTTTTGAGTATTTTGTTACTTTGGGTACTACTCAGAGTTCATGACGACTAAGAAAACACTAAGAAATAGACAGTTGTTGCTAGATCGTCTGCTGAAGTCGAGTTCGGGCTATGGCTAGTGTTGTTAGCTATGTGATTTGGTTGCGTGCCCTTCTGTGTGATGTGGGTGTTGTTCAGTCGGGTTTCATGGTTCTTCTTGTGATAATTAGGTTGCACTTCACATCGCAGTCAGTCCAATCTTTCATGAACAGACTAAGCATGTCGAGCTTAACTATTATTTTATCACGGACCATGTTGTCGCACACTCCATACTTCCCACTAAGATTTCCCCTCAAGATTATGTGGCTAACATCTTCACAAAAAGGCTTGGTGGTGATCAGTTTAATTACCTCCTCTCAGAGCCTAGCATTTGTGACATGCATGCGTCGCTTGCTAGGGTAAATACCTGCATGCGAGTAGGGATTGTTTGGTAATTTTTTCTCTCTAGTTCCTACGATTTTTTTTACAAAAGATTATCAGATATATTGATTGGAATAATAGATAGTTACATCCCAGAATTAAATCAGGTCAGAAAATCAGAGAAATGACTCGTAGTCGGGTACAATAAAATGGCCCTCATAGCCACCAAATGGGCTACCCTATTCCTACGTTGGCCTAGAAATTGACAATAAGGCCACTGTGACTCGCAAAATAATGCACAACCTTCTCGACAATGGCCCACATCCGATTATCGTAGGTATCAACCCAATTGATCTTCTCAATGACCACTTTGGCATCACCTTCAAATCTCGTCCTCGTAAATCCCTGGTTTAGACACCAGAGAATAGTCTCCCAGAGAACGAGCAGATCCACCACCATAGGATCATCAATCTCTGGAAACTGCACCCCTTTAGCTAAGAGGACTTCCCCATCTTGATTTAGAATAATCATCCTGCCTGACGAAGGAGACCTACTCTTAGTTGCCCTATCCCACATACAAACAACCGCATTTGGATGCACAACATTCAATGGGTTTGATAGTGGGATGGAAGAATGGAAACCACGGTCTACGGGCAAACTAACTCACTCCTGACACTGCTGGTTGAATTGTAGCATTAGACATGGGATCCCAAACTGTTTGCCCTCGAAGATGACCCAATTTTGTGACCTCCAGATCCTCTAAAGGATCGCAACAACCGCCATGAATAATTTAGGTTGATTTAAGAGTAACATCATCTTTTTCAAGAAGAGCGGAAAAGTGTGGCGAGGCACCCCTTGACCAAGATAATCGAGTCCCTAATGATCCCATAAGGCCTTGGCCACTGGGCAATCAAGAAACAAAATTTTCATTGTTTCCGATTTACCAACAAGCTGAACACCTAGGTAGAACATGAACATCTTTCTCGATCAGGGCCTCCGTCGTTGGTAGGATTCGGTTGAAGATCTGTCATACAAACACTTTCAACTTGGATGGAATATTGTCTTCCCATAATCGAATCCAGCATGATCAATCTATCCAACTTGCCATGGATCTCCATCGACCACCCTGCTTATCTAACACGACATCGAAATGATAAGCCAATTTAATGGTGAAAACCCCGTGAGGCGTGCCATGCCAGATCAATCTATT